AGGGACAAAGTTGCTTTTCTGAGTTAGAGAGCAAGCAGTAGATATTCTTAGTTCCTCATTCTATAATCAGACCTTGGGAATAGGTACAGAATCACACAGAATTGTTCTGGTTGGAAAAGCCCCACCATAGAAGAAACAGCATGACACAGATCTTTGTTTCAGGTGAAATGTGTAATCTAGATATTATCACAGAGAGATATTTGAATGACAGTTTGGCTCAGCTCTGTCCCAGCCAGTTACCATCATAGGAAACACTGGGAAGTAGAGCTGGAAAAGTATGTTGTCAACACCCAACATTCAGTTGCAAAAAACAAGCCTTTTTTTCAAGCTCAGACAGGTCTGCACAAAATCAGGATAAATATCCTGGTAGTAGATATTACTGTGGACCCTCTTCATCTAGGATTTACTACTAAGCCCATTTGGACCCAGAGGCCCAACTTTCTTCAGCAGAGCACATTAAGGACTGTGAGGGTCCCACACTCTGCCAGTGGGAGACATAAGAGTCACCAAAAAATGCAAGAATCTACCTCAGTTCTCTTCCAAATGTATTTATTTAGCATTATGACAAATGTGCTTTTTCTCAGCAGTTTCCAGAAAATCTTGAGTCTACAACCAACTCCCATGGAAACAGAAGCCAAGCCCAAAGGACAAAACTAATTTTTTTTTCCAGATGCAGGCTAGGAACAAGCAGCTTTCTCAGTCTCTATCTCAGTGTTAAGCAGTGCTATGGGCTAAAAGTACTGTGAAGGTGATAGCCACACAAATCAATCATAGTCTCAGTTCTTACTGAGGAACATATTTGAGCATTTTTGTCTGAGTTTGTATCCTGTGCCCAATTCTTCCACCATCTAAGTTCTGCTTTCGCCACTTTTTCAGGTCATCTGCCAAACTACTGCTTTCTTTTCATACAAATACATCTTCAAAAATTATGGGGGTTTTTTTGTTGGTTTTGGTTGGTTTTTTTTTCTGAAGCTTACAAAAGGAGTTACCAATGAATCATTCCTTTTTAAATGCAGCTAGGCATGCTTAGTCCTTTTCTCTGGTGTTACGAACTTGTACTCAGTGCCCAGATTATCTCCTGGCTATCAAACTGTACTGCTATTCCTTCACTGTCTGTAACTAGACTTCAGGTAGAAGTGGCTAAATATCATCTACCAGTACTTAGAGGGAACCAGCAAAATATGCAGGATTGTAGAATGACTAGCTTAGTCAATAAAACGTTTTTTAGTATGCTGTCAATACTGCTATTTATATTGTATACTTCTTAAACATTTTGGATAAACTTAAGAAATACATTTTAGTAACATAAAGTTTCTGAAATATTTCAGTATCATTGATTGCATGTTTGTTTTGCATGTTTTCTCACCCTCCTAATCAAGAGACAGCAGCAAAGGGTGCAGTGTCCAGTTACTCCTTCCATCAAGAGACATCCGGATATCTCTGCTCTATTACTTCTCTCTATTAAAACACTCAAGATACTCATGCCTCTATACATTCACACCAAACAGTTGAATTTATCTGAATATCTAAAATGTCTCACATCTGTAACAAGAGTTCCAGATAAAAAAGTAACTTTCCATACTTTAGAAGAAATGGGCCTTTTGATTAAATGATCCAACACCACAGACATTAAGGGGAAGGGTATCTTTTCCCACCAAAGAGCAGGATTGTCATACATTACTTGAACCACCATGCCTTGTGGAATCTTCCTTGATTATTAGTGACAGAAGCCAGAAAGACTTAGTTTCACCTATATTTAATCCAGAAAAGTACCCTTTCTATTCAGACATTGACTAAACCAAACTGATCTGTGCTAGTGTAATCCAATGCTTGGATCAATCCAATTTGCTCTTCCTTGGTCTGACCCAGATGCCACTCCATAACCTACAGATGGTTCATAGTACTGTATCCCATCTGTTAAATAGAACACAGTAATGAGAATACATCACACTAATATTCCTCACTTCCCTTTGGTTTTCATTCTAATCCTGAACACAGATGAAGGTCCTGGTCCTTTCAGTGGTCCATGACTAAATAATCTAAGAGAAGACATCTTCTTTCTGCTTCTTGCAGGAAATGGATGGAACAGAGATGCTATGCTTAAAAGGAGTCAGATTCAAACTTGAAGATATGGGACAGAGATCTGGCTTCAACACTCACTTCCACCACACTTTGTAATTTCTGCAGGCAGTTTAACTACCTGTTAAATCACCACAGCACTGTATTCCTAAATGAAAATTAAACCATGCTGTTCATGAGTAAAATACTAAGATTGGAAGGAGGAACCATTCTGTTTTGAAGGGCTAATTAAGTTTAGCTTATTATGCTGCAAAACTACAGCATATACAGTCGATATAGTAAGGAAAAAAAAAGTCTTATAAATCAGAACTAATAAGACAGCAGTATTAGTAACATCAATGCATAAAAATTATGTATATGATATTGAAATCTGGGATTCCTTAAGACATATAATTACATTAAATTAATGCAAGTTTGACACTTAAATAGGAGTTGTGTATAGGTGGTCAGTATATGGAAACTTAAATAGGAGTTGTGTATAAATGGTCAGTATATGGAAGAAAAGTACTGTCCTCTGAAAATTCGGTGCAGTGCAAGAGACTTTTTTGTTATTTTACTAAACAGAAAAAAAAATAATAAAATTGAAACCCAACCTGGTCCTCACAACGATGTTTCTCTGCAAAGATACTTTATACACAGAAAGGTGGTTTTGGCTTTTTTTTGAAATCAATCGATTTGTGGCATTGCATTCCATTAAGCAAGAATGCAATCCCTGAAATTTAGATGAGAGACATTTTCATGCATTATTGAATCTAATTGGTGACTGCAACTCTTTGTTTGGCTTTTCAGTTATTTCATTCTTTACTTTTGTGAAACACAACTTGCAGAATAAGAAAAGGCTAATAAATGCTCTAGAACCAATCAATGTTACGAAACTAATAATAATACAATATGAGCATGTAAGCTTATGTAGTGCCTTTCATGTAAAAGTATCCCAAGGCACTTTGCAACAGAAACTCAATAAGGAGTGCAAAAGTGCTTTGTCAGATAGGATAAGCCAGGGGAAAAGGGGAAATTAATTAAGCATGGATTTAAATTTCTCAGCCAACACAGTGTTTAGAACCTTGGTCAGAAAAGACAGTGGTTCCAATATCTGTGTCCAGGGAACACAACAGACTATTTCAGTCTTTAATTCTTGAGGAATGTTCAATAGTTTTTCCACAAGAATATGGGTAGAAGTAATAGGAATGCAGTTTATAGGCTACATTTCCAAAAGACAGCCTCTGCCTCTCTTCCTCTAGTTTTTCATAAAGAAATGGATCATAAAATTGATCCCCTGACATGTACACCAGTAAAGCCACTTGACTGCAGAGATACCAAACATGGAATCTGGTGTGGCAGAAGTTACAAATACCAAGCTAATGGCTTTATTGGCTGTTTACTTCACTGGTTTAAACCAAAGTATGTTTCTTTATGGAGATAGTTCACACCTCTGACAGAGGGAGTCATCTGTTGCACAGTAGTTGCAGAGATAGCATGTATTTCACAGGGAAAAGCAAAATTGCTTGGGAAAAGCTATAGTAATTGATAATGCATAACTTACAGCTTCCCTGATGTTACAGAAACGTGCACATCCTCTATTTTTCAAACATTTTTCTCTTAGGAACACATGGACCATCCTCATTTTTGGATGACTGCCTCTTCGGATTAATGCATCCTTCTGGTGCATAAATTAGGATGCACAGAGGAAAAAGGAGAAGCACTAAATCTCAGGAAACTGAAGCCATACAGAAAAATGAGGTTCACAGTAGAGCTGAATGAGTGACTCACCATGAATAATTTATCCAAAAACTTAGCCTCCACTTCTGTTCATGGAATACCTATAAGAAGCTTGTAATTTTCTCAGTTTCATTATAAAACTAAACCTTAAACCTTGCATGTCTTCACTGCAAATACCTTCCTGTAAGCATTTCATGTCCTAACTTAAGAGAGAGTGGCATTTCGATTGATCATATCAATCTCATTATGATCTTTCTGTTCCCTAGATGGATGAACCCACAAACACATAATTCAAATGTCTGTTGTGGTTAAGAAAGCATCTCAGTATCATGTGATGAAAAGTAGGTGTAGGCAATATAATTTCATTTAGGAAAAAATTCTAAAACTTTTTTGAAAAATGTTTTCACTATTTATATTGCACCTGTAGTCCATTGTAATTGTCCTTAACAATTCAAGAAATTTGTAGCTACTTGTATGTATTTTCTTTGGGGACCACAAAAAGTGAAATTGTCCTAGGAAAAACTTGAATTTGATGGTATGCTAGTTTTTTGGGGGTATTTTTAGGATTTTTTACTGAATAATATACCCATCTTTCCAGTGTTTGTTCTAAGCTCTTGGGCCAGTTATTAGGAGTTTTCCATTAGTAAGATTGAAATAGCAATGTTAAACTTTTACTAGATTATTTATGATCTAAAATATCCTTTCAGAACTTAATGTGTTGCAAGTACTTAAAGAAGAAGGAACCATGAATGCATTTAGAATTCACAGTAGCATACAGAAAATATCAGTTTTATAAAAGCCATCTACAGGTTAATATTTTAGAATATTTTAAAATTTTAGAATTCAGATGCTAAAATACAATAATACCTATTACAGGAAAAAAAGAAGACTGAAGACTGATAAGAAACTATATTTTTTTGTTGTGTTACCTGACACAGGCTGAAGATAAAGACAGTATACTAGAACACTGCCCACTTTGTATTACTTTTAATTATGTTTGCATAATTAATGTTAATATATTGCTTTTGGTTTTAGTATATTTGAAAATGAAAGTTCATTGAGCACTCTTTGTCAGATCTATGCTAAATCTCTACATAATGCATCATTTGCTGGATTCTTTATTTTACAGCGATACCATTGGTGTGATTTTATCAATATTAGAAGAAAATAAAACTGAGAGATCAAACAACATGAGTTCTTACCTGAGCTCTTGAGCTATAGAGTCCACTTGAACTGTTAATAAAAGCAGGAAAGAATGAGTTAGTTTACACTTCGAGACTTGAGCTTTCTGCAACCTTGCACCTGCCTATATGTGATGACAAGAGAGGCTATCAAAACACAGGTGATTATTTCATGCTAACTACAGAATTATAGCTACTAATAGCAAATGCTAAGTTAAAATGTCATTCTCATAGTTATTTTAGCATACATAAAATCTGGAGCATGACATTCTCTGGAACATTAAGAAAAAGTAAGAGTAATAATAAGAAAAATAAAAGAGGAGGCACACATTTTTGTTGAAAACAGAATGACAGATCTCTGCTTTTTATTAATTGTAAGTCAATGTAATTAATTTTAATTTAATTTAGGAATGACGAAGGCTGATATTTACCAATACCTGCCCACAGATGGATATACAGCATATTGACAAAGCCAACAACAGGTGGTTCTAAAGATTACTTGCACTTTGCAGGCAACTTTTATTGTTTCCATTTCTGGGAAAATGTTTCTGATCTATGAATTGCTATATATGTGTGTGCATGCCTATGAAAAATATAGAGGAAATTTTAAAAATTATTAGCTTTTTGAATGAAGAGAGTGTGAATCCCCTATTAAATGCACTTGGAGCCTGCTAAGACCATCAAACTGTCCTAACTCACAGTCCTTACTGACACAGGAGATATTCTCTAATGCTGAGGTGTGAATAACTTCTCTATTTAATTACTTTGGTCAATTTCTCTGTCCTGGTATGTTTGACGTATATATGAATTTTATATTAATTTCAGAGAACATTAATAAGGGATGCATCAAAGATTATATATATAACAATGCTTATGTTTTTTAGAAAGGCTTGTCTGTATTTATCTCCTTGTCTGCTGGCAGTTTGTGGCATTCCCACCCCCTTCTTCTGGCTTTTCCTAAGTGAAGTCAAGCACTTTGAATCTAGAGGATGAAGTCAAGCCACACTTTAACTTTTCATTCTGACCATGACTTGAAGCTGAAGGCACAATAGTAAGAATCCAGAACTACTGACTTGTGACAATAAATCAAACTAGTCGGTTTTGCACAATCCTGAGAGTGTATGTTTCATATTAAAATCAGAGTGAAGGACAGGTGCTTTTTACCTCTGAAACTAGACATAAGCAAAAATTCGCACAGAGCAGACAAAACTTTAACATTTATTTTTAAGTATCTCCACTTTTCACTCATTATCAAGAGTCACAAAAAGTGTTATGAATTAAAATAAAAAGTTATTTTCCTGGAAGGACTGTATTGCTAGTCAATCATGTTTTCCAGATGTTGAGATCATTAAGGGCCTGTTTATCTCTCAGTACTGCATTTCCATCTGTTCTTTGCAAAAAGAGGAAGGGCTGGGATATATAACTATGTCATAACTTTGCAAAATGAAACATGAGCACTGCATTTAAAAAAAGCACAGGGTTTTTCTCTGCTGTATACACCTGCACTTTTGATTAAAGTAAATACACTTCTGGACGATTTGTGCAGCTAACTTGCAGATAATTAATGGCAATAGACAGAAAAAAATTCAGTTGGCTGAGACAAAGTTTTCTGCATTATTTTGAAAACATCTATTCAATATTGTCTAGCTCTTTGTTTGCATAATAAATAGCATAACCTTTATTTTCTTTGAGAAATAGTTCAAAGAAAATAACATTTGTGTGTTTTGTTTTTGGTTTTTTTTGCTGTTTTTCTTTAAACTATAGCTAACAATATCATGCCTCCTAATGCCAGCAGTCTGTGTCCTGCCTTGATTAAAAAAGCAGCCCTAAGGAAGCTACACACTCTCTTACTGCACATTAGGGACGGTGCACAGGAACTGTCATATTTCATGGTGTGCTGGGCACGGGGTCACGGAACGTGCTTGCTAACTCACCCTTGGTTCCTTTCGAGCGTGTGCGCAGCTTTTTATTTTCCCCATCTGCATCCATCTGTAATATTAACACAAAGTCTTTAATTCATCTCTTTTGCCATTGAGAAAAAGATGTCTCCAATGCCAATGTTTGTTTATTTTTGTTTTTCTGTTTTTTTTTTTACATTTCCAAAGGCTAGACAGTAATAGAAAGGAGAATAATCATGCCTTATTAATCTTGTCAAAGACATAAAGAGCCATCTGTGAATATCTAGCAAATACCTAGGAGATACCTTTAATGATACAGATTCATTTAATAAAGAGATGGTTATAAGTGACTCTGTAAGGTTTAATGACAATGTCTACAGGTGTCAGCTGAAGGTATAAGGTTAGAAGCAGCCATGTTCTTTGAATGCTGCTTTCAGCATGCACCACCTGGAAGATAAGGTCTCAGAAAGCCCCAGTGCCTACAGGCATATTGTACTACTGTTGTAACTGAAGCATTGCTTAACAGTTGTGCTGGAACCTTCATCTCTGACAACTTTGCCCTTAGAATGTGAAACACACTTGCTTGAATGTGTGCAATTGCACATTTACAGCTTTGAAAAACTTCAGCACTTAATCAACTACTCCTTGCTGAAGTTTCAATCAGGCAGACAGTTACATATTGTTGTGAGTTTCTGCAAGAATTAGGTGTCTGTGTTTGTATTTTACACAAATTTTTAAAAAGACCAACGAAACAAACAAAACAATAAAGAAAAAATCCAGCCCTCAACAACGTCAGCTGTTATCATAAGATTTCTAACTGAAATAAGAGAGACTTTGCAAGATCAGCTGTTCTCATGACACTCTTGACTACATATAAACTAGTACTGGAAATATGCCCCTTCTGATCTTGGATCTGGCCAAGACATGTAATTGTAAGGGCAAGGTTTCAATTAATGGATTTTATTGCAAACCCTTGAAATTCAAAAAGATTAAGATTTCATGTTCTGATGTGGAGAGCTTCAGCGACAGTAGATTGTACAACAGTGTAAATTTTAACCATATTCAGGAAGGCAAACACCACTTCTTTCTAAAAATAACAATTTTAATATAATGAAGACTGTCATGAGGAATTTTTGCCTAGGCAAAGTATCAGGAACTCTGTAAATCTTCCTCAGTCTATAGCAGTATCTCACTATCTAGCTTTGCTTTGAATTGTGGTTTCTCTGTTTTTAAAACGGTGATGATCAAGCACACTGTAGGAACTCCCATGTACTTCTGCAGATCAACATGTAAGAAGAAATGTCAACACAAGCATCTGATGTGTATAGTTGTGCTGGGCAATTGGTAGATGCATTCTGTGGATACTAGAAGTTCCCTATGCCTATTTCCCTGCAAAAGTTCTTAAGATAAAACCTGATGTCAACAGAAGATCCTGCTTATTATTTCACTTTCTATTTCTGACTATTGGCAGCACTGATTTGTCCCACAGAGGGAAGATGCACAAAGCTCTCTTTATGCCTTTTTTCCATGTATAGAGTTTGAATAATTGAGGATGCTTTATTTATAACTTTATATGACTCAGATAACTGAGATGTTTTGAAGGTCTTATCTCAAAGAACATTGCAGAATATGACAAAAATTTTCTGAGAAAGAAAGAAATAGAGTAAAGTCAGCCTTTCTAGGGAAGAAAATAGCATTTTTCTAATTTTCTAGGTGTTTTCTGTTTGTTGTTATATATGGTTACACATTGTGCACAGCTACTGGAATCAAAATACCTATTTGTGGGAGAAAACACAAGCATTTGAAATGGGTATTCATGTACTTGAAGAAGTCTAATTCTAGAACACAGATTAGTGATCTCTGAAAGGAAAGTATAAATTGATCAAAATGCATCTCAAAGACAGATAATTATATCTTTTCTCTGTTTAAATTTACATCTGATGTTGATTATTAGCAGGGAGGGAACATAAGTGGCTTGTGTTCACGTAGTGACGCTGATGGCAGCCTTCACTTCTTACTACCCTTAAAACCTGGAGAATGCGTTTTTGCAGTGTGACTGCAATGGTAATGGGAAACGTGGCTCTGTTCTCTGATGCCGAGTTGTGATTGAAGGCACTGACCTGCCATAGACTTATAATAGGGGAGCAGGTGTGGCAATGATGGACTTTAATTTCCTTTAATAAACCTTTTATGTGCCACACTTTTACTGCCATTCTATGCTCTCCAAGGTCCTGCACATAATAGGTTCATTACTTTTGATTACTATAGTCTATTGAGACAAACAACTCCAGAACACACTATATATTATGTTCAGTTAAACCAATATAGACTATTTATCCACTGTGCATTATTTCACCTGCAACTCTACAGACAAAATTAACAACAGCTCCTGTAAGCTAAAACTATTAAAACCACTGGTACTCCTTTGTCATCATTTCATAATACCACACCAATCACAGTGCTGCTCTTTTAATTATGAAACAAAGTGTCCACTGCTTCTACTGAACAGCAGTTACTTTGGTCTGTATAGCACGTTGCATTGTGATGAATATTTAAAAACTGCACAAGGAGTGAAAACCAACAATAAAATCAAAGCAGGTGATTTTTCTATTGATTTTCTTTCAGTGTAATAACGAGACACTTTTAATCAACTCAAACCTAAAGTTTATAGGCCTATTTAGCCTGATGCATACAAAATATTAAAATTATAATCATGCCTCTGTTGCTTAAAAACCACTTTAACTTAAAAAAATCTCATACATTAACTTAAAAATCATACAAAAAATAACTGAATAGAACTGCGAAATATTTTAAGTGTGTCAGCAAAAAGACCTCTATTGCTCAACATTACATTACATCAGATGTAATACCTTTGGATTTTGATAGCTCTTTCAGAGCTTGCCTGATACTGAAAAAAGTAAACAAAGTTTATTACTTCTGATTTTTGCCTACATAGTGATGGGGTTACATGAGATTACAGCCAGAGATGGTCAGCAAGAAGTATTGAAACTTTTAAATCATCCATGGAACAACAAAAGAATTAAACTCTAAGTGAGAAATTCCATTGTTTTTAAAAGTAATTTTTATCAAGGTGTCAATTTGGGAGACATATCTTATTACTGCTACATACTGTAAAGAATGAGTAGATTTTAGAAGGTGCTTCATGCTCTCAAAGCTGGTGATGAGTCAGCCCTCCCCAGAGGCCCTCCAGTACATATGTTTTCTTAAGAGAAGTCATTAGGGAAGAATAGAACAGTTATGTCTGCAGAAAATCCTCACAAGATATCTTACTACTATTTTTAGCCATCAGAACCATTCGTATAATATCTAAAGGTTTGCCAGCAAAATTTTATTAGGAATTGCAATCCTGTATATTTTGAAGGCAAACTTTCCAAAAAGAGCAAGTGAATGATGGAATCAATTCAACTTTAACTTAGTGTCTTACATCTAGATTCTCCGATTTGATTTGAAACCTACCTAAACATTTTCTTTTCAAAATTATTTAAAACTAACTGAACGGACTCAAAAGAAACTACTACACAATATACAGTCTGAAATACAGTGGCACAGGGGTAGCAGCTCTGCAATCCCAAATTGTTAGGCTATCAAGCTAAGAAATAGAAGGCTGCCTTAGAACTGCTTCACTGACGACGAATTTCTGTAATGCGGAAATTTAGAGGATGCTGCTGACGAATTGTTTTCTAAAAGCATCTTCCAACAAATCACACTAAGTTTGTGAATGCTGTCTCTCTGAATTCAGGAATTTCAGTAGGATCCTCCCTCCACCTTTCCTTCAAATATTGTTTGAGACTCATGGGTAAATCAATGACTAGGTGTCAGAAGGCTGACTGGAGTCACCGATGATACTAAAAATTCTGCTTGGCTGAAACTGGAGTAACTTGTTATGTGCCTGCCTCGCTGTATTTATGTTTCTCCAGATGAACTTACCATTGGAACAGCAGTAATCATATTTTTTGAGCAAACTATTTCAGAGTTCCTGGCTACGGAAAGTAAATGTTACTGCTTCTGTTTGCACCATCACACTGCAGTGAGTGGCTTTGAGAGCGGCACCTGGAAATACTTCCCTGAGTGAAAGACTCATGATTTGGCTCTGAGTTTGCTTTTTTATGTGCCTGAAGCCTATCTGTGCACATGTGCATATACTGATATAATGGGATCCAAGAATATGACTAACAGCTGAAAATAGGACATGTGAAATAAATGATAATAATAACAATAAAAATAATAATAACTATTTCCGTTTACTTGCACATTTTAATTCTGAATTTCAGAAACTAAATGGATATTATTGTCTTAGTAAGATAGTTTCACAGCACATTACTGTGAAATAAACTAGAAATTGGGAAAGCCAGTGCTGCTGACATAGGTAAAAATGTTAATGCACCACCTGGAAAGAGCTAATGTAAGAGCTACACACTTTCTTATTTCTATTGTAAGCTTTGTACAAATATGATTTTCCCTGAGTGGGTTTCACACTCTGTGAGTGTCAGTGTTTTATTTTGCATAACTAACTAGAGGAAAAAAATCATCATATTATCTAGAGTTAAGAAGGACAAAAGTTGACATTTTATTGTGTTTCTCCAAGTAAAAGTTGTGTCTGATTTTCAAAACAAAACTTGGCAAAAAACTCCTCTAGGACAAACCTTAACTGGTTTTGAGAGTTCTGAAAATAATAGCTTTTCGCTATTATTTTTAATTTATAAACTACTTCAGTCTGCATTGCAGCAATAGCTACATCTAACACTAGACGAATGAATTTAACCAGGAAAAACAAACAAACAAAACAAACAACAAAAAAAAGCAACTTGATTTTGAAAGCACACAAATCTATCCTCAAGTTTCAAACACAAGCCACAGACTTCAAAGTTGAAGCCAGACAGTGCTAAGCACTACAAACACATCTGTGTTGCACTGTGCCCCAAGGTGACGTGACACTGTGTGTACCATTGCCTGCAATAAATAATACACTCAGAGCAACCTTTTCAGTGCTTTTGGTATTCATATTTTAGTGCTTCATTTCAACAACTCATTTAAGAATCTAAGACACAAAAGGATAATAATGTCATAACAAAAAAGACTTTTAAAAATAAATCTGAAAGCAGGAAGGCTTCCTATAGTCTGTCCAGAAGGACAGAGAACTGTTTGGCTGCTGGTGTGTCTATGTTCACTGACTGCGCCTTTCTGTCACTCTACCACACCTTCTTTTTAATATCAAGTGTTAATGGCACACTGACAGTGTGAGAAGGAAATGCAAAGTATACACACAACAACTTCAAGGTAAAGCTTTTATATTCTGATTGCTGACAGTAAAAATATCCAAAATCCAAAGACAAAATTTTATTCAACATTGCTAGCACTATGGTTAAAGTTTCATGTTCTTCTTCTTTATTTTTAAAAATATACTGATGTCCAGGAAAGAGAAAAAATATTTAGAAAATAGATGTTCTTAAAAACTGTGACTGAAAATATGCCTTGTTTTGTGATTTAATCACCATCTCATTTTTATTTTTTAAACTTTTTTTTTTAGTTTACACAATGTTATTTCTGATTTCTCTAGGAGAAAGCTGAATAACATGGAAATTATTTGTTCAGATGTATTAGTTTCTCAGAAATAAAAACAAATAAGTACGTCTATTGAATGCAAACTTTAAAGGAAGTTTATAGCACAGAGAAATTATCAACAATTTGGGATTTTATAGTGTGGTTAAATGGTATATGTATTTTTGAGAGGTAAATATTTTTCATATTGAAATCACTACTTGAAAATACGCAGCCACAAAGTAAACCTTTGAATAGCTTTGTAATGAGGATGATTTATTTGGATTCTCACTTCTGATTTCTGAGTTGTCACTGCTGTTGTATACTTCATCCATGCAACTTTGCACAACTGGCAGTGCTGAATATAAACCAAAGCCATATGTTTATGTCCTTTTGCCAAATGACTACAGCAAATAGTTCTATTATTCCCTTAGGTAACCAAAGTGTGCCAAGTATTTCTATTAGTCTGCTTTACCAAGGCTTTAGAGGGCAGAGTCACAGCTTTGTGAAATTTAGGGGCAACTGCTAGCTTTTAAAATTTAGAGAAAAATTATATACTACTATATACTACTACTGCACTGAAATGCATCTCAACAAAAGCTGGTATGTGATCCTAATTTCTGGAGGCTTTTTTATTCCTGGATTTTTATTTCTTATGTAGTTCAATGTCTTGTAACTATTTCCTGGTCTACTATGGGCAAAATATATATTTTTTTTTTAAAGAAAGTGTCAATATTAAAAAAGGAAAACAATGTTTTGACACCTTGAGGTTTTTTATGAATATAGCTAAGTTTTAATTCCACCCAATTGATATATAGCTAAAAAAACCTCAAAAAGCATTTAAAAAAATCACAAATAAACTGTCCCCCACAGATTAAATTTAAGCAGTGCATTATAAAAGACATTCCCTACTCCCAGAGTCATATAGAGTCAAAGATAGTTGTGTTCTTGACAGTATGTAATGGTAACAAAGTGTAGTGTATGAAACTTACAACACTTAAATTTCTAGGTATTTACAAAGATTTATATCTTTTTTAATTGTTCAATATTACTATATCTGACTGTCAAAGACCTGTGTTCTTAAAAGAGCAAGTGTTATGTGAGAAAAATAGTCATAGTGCACAAGATGCTATACATGAAACTGCAGTGTTCTAATTCTAATACAGAGATACATATTTTGAGTCAGATTAATTTTTGTATATAAATTATCCCACCTTTGAGTGTTTCCAGGTGAATATATGTGCAGATTCCAAAGGACCAAATTTGTCTCTCAACTCAAGATGCCTTGCCTGATTTACCAGATGATGCCGAAATTCATTCTCTGAAAAAAAATCCACAACAACAACAAAAGAAAATAAAAAACACAGCTATACTAAATAAAAAGTAGATTAAACAGGACATTCTTTAAAGAAAATGGGCAAATAACCTAGGTGAGTTGTTTTCTTGCGCTGGTTTTCGAAGATGTGATATGGAGACATCAATGGTGCTTCCACAAGGCAGAAAGAATATACATTTTTATTTTGTTGTGGTACTTTTGTATATTGCTAATACTCTTTCCAACAGATTATGAATAGGTCTGCTCTAAGAAAAGTTTTTCTTCTTGTGCAGACAAAAAGTCATTTTTCTATATTTAATAATCCTTAGTCAACTGTTTTTTATTGCATAAGAACCCATTTCAGTAGGACAGTTCACTGCATAATGTGAAAGTAATGAGAAGCATTCAGAAATACTTTTGAATATCAGTGTTGAAAGTTTGGCAGACTGATAGTGTTCCCACCGTACGCAAATTGAAGGAAATCCTTGACATTTCTTCATGCTCCATATTTATTCCTTTCTGTGTGAAAACTCCTGCAAATCAACAGTAACAATGAGGAAAAAAGAACTGCAGAAGTTTATATCTGAGTGTACAATACTGAGGGCCTTGTATTCAGAAATAACAAAAACCCAAACTCTTTGAACCCTTAAAACTAGAAAAATCTGTCCATGAGCATTTATTATGGTCAGGCTTTATTTTAACACCACTCCTGCCAGTAGTGACCAAAACATAAAAATGTTACCATCACTTGCAATTTCTGAGGTTCTTTTCAAATAATATCTAGTGTATTTAGTAAAATAGATCTATTCATTCAACATATTCAAATATGCCAAAGTTTGCAGATAAAACTTTGGAACTTGAAGGTGAAATTTTAGGATAGGTGATGAAGATTTGTCAGTAAATTTTGTAATGATGTATTTCTGAAATCAGAAGAGTTCATTCTAGACAGATTCTCAAGCAAGACATACTTTATTGCATGATTAATTTCTGCTTGAGTCCCAATAGATAGAATATTAGTTGCATCCCATCAATAACTTTTAATTAAAGTAAGTAAGCTTTTATCAAATAGAAAAACAGACAACAGATGCAAGATGATAAAGCAGGGAGAAAACCCAGAACAAAACAGCCCAGCAGCAAAAAGATTTTTAAAGCCCTTTTCTAGCCAATATGTTGTTGGAGAAAGATGTTGTTTATTCTCGAAGGCCTCATTCCTGGATATTCTATTTCAACATCTATGGGGAAAAAAACACAACCAAAAAACTAAAAACACAAAAACAAACAAGCAAAAACCCCACAAAAAATAACAAAACAAACAACAAGAGGAGCCTTAAAGCCTTCTACCTGCCTCTTCCTCTTTGCTCAAAACACTCTAACCTAAAAGAAAAGATCTCTGAGAATAGCTACAATGGTGAACAAAGCTCTTTCTAAAGCCTAAAACTTAACAGTTTTTTGTCTAGAGTCCTATCATGTTGTGTATTTATTAGCAATATATTTTTCATTTATTTTCTCAAAGATTGCCAATAAAGAACTAAATCACATAAGGGAGTAGCTGTAAACCCTTTGAGTTCCCTAATGTCAAACTCATTAGCATCCGAATAACCACACAGCAGCACATCATCTGCACAATTGCAATTTTTTACTACTTTTAATAGCGTTTCTCAAAGGGCTCATTTTCAACTTTCTTCAGTGGTTAGTTGGGTCTCTGGGGAATAGGAGCTTCCTGACGCTCACAGCTTCCACTCAACAACCAGGCCGTTTGCTGTCAGAAGCATCAGCCCTCTGCCCTAACCCCATCTGCTGTCTCTCTCATCCTGAGGGACCAAGAGTTAAGACAGCACAGCTGAGATCCACTTGGAAAAGTGCACAAAGGACAGAAAAAATACACAAAACTTTCCACATTTAACTTTACATAATCAGATAATACGTTGAAAATCCTCCCTTTAAGAACAGGAGTCTGAACTGGGTTGGGGCTGATGCAGGAGGAGATTTTAAAGTTGTACTGGAAAACTACATGCAACAGTGCCATTTGCTATTTTACTCCCATCTGCCTCGCATGTGACGTCACCAGCTATCTTTGTAAAGCAGAGGGCTGTAGTAGGACAAAAGCAAGACTTTATACACAGCACAAACCCCCATCTCCTCTGTTTAGTTACAAAAGAAGTTACTGGCTAATAATTTTAAACGTGCTATGTTCTATTTCTTTCACATAACAGGGTGCTGGCTGCCATACAACTGATTCGTGAGTGAGTACCCACATTGGAAGTTATGGTGTTTCATAAAAAGCTGAACACAACATTATGCATCTGTCATGTTATAAATGGTGTGTAGGATTATGCTGTGTCATGGGATGTGACATACCCCGAAAGAAATATAAACTATGTGTCACTGCTTTCCAGCATAAGTGCTGGGATCTGATACTTCAGGTAGCAAACAAGAGTTAGTGCTGATTTCACAGGAGCATCAAGATATATACAAGAAGTTATTGAAAAACACTTCATTGCAGTATATTACATGAATTCATTTATGATTATTCATGGGGCAAATTTGTAGGCATTGCAAAAAGAGCAGATAAAAGTCTGCAATGCCAACTGGAAAAATTAAAATCCTCAAATTAACAGCCTCAAGAGCCTATAAAAAATCTATCTAGGTTATTGGTGACTTTGATTATAAGAACATTGTTATTGGAAATCTGGTAGAACTAATTCATTCATTTTTCAACAGAGGTCCTTTGGTGGGATCACTCCTCTTCAGTACACACTTATCTTCACTTGGCTCAATCTATTAATAACTTATATGAACTCAGTTGTCTGTTTTAGTAAAGAATTCAAAAGGATTTAGAGACGGCAAATTATGCCTACATACACTTCAAGTCCCTATATGTCTGAACAACATTTTTTAATCCTGAAGGAGACGTTTTCCTGCCCACAAAGGAAACCTTCCCCCTATTCAACCAGCACCTCAATTCAACTGGAATAATAAACTTTATAAACCCACAAAGATGGAATAAATTAGTTGCTTGATTTGCCAATGTAATGGTTCAGTGAAGTCACCTGGAACCTTTGCAATTCATTCTTTGGTTTATAGCCATTTCCAGTGTAACATGATTTTGTAGTGAATCCGAAGTGTCATCCTACTGAGATCCATGAGTCATACCAGGATACTGACGTGAATCACTATTTGTGCCCTGATCCTCAACATTAGACGCATGTGACATATCCCTTCAAACAATCATTCTTGTTGACCCATTGGCTATAGGTAAAAGTCCACTCATTCAGGTCAGAATACTAAACAGTTCCTGAGGATTTAACAATGTGAAAAGACATGTTCTACAGTCAAAAATTATCTCACCAGAAGTCTGATGTTGTTTTCTCTATCAGGATTACAATACACAAAGCTGTACCACTTCTGCAAAAGACCCACACAACTTTTTGAGAAAAATGGATTTAATTTCCAAGAGATGAATTTGATTTTCTCTCATTTACCACATCAACAGCTGATACATTGCAAATACAAAAATGAATTATCACAACAGTTTGTGATTTGTTAACTTAGGATGGACATAACAAGTAAGGAAACAAAATCCAATATGCTCATCATTATGATCCCTGATAATTATTTTGGTTTTCTACAGTGACAGTGATTTCTCTTTCTTGAAAAAATAATGCAATGTATTTAGTATTTGACAAAAAAAAAAAAAAAAAAAAAAAGGTGAAAAAAAGTTTCCAATGCAAATAAATGAAGATGCATTGAGCTCTCAACTGCAGGCAGTTCTTTATCCTGCACAGGCTGAAGTATGTAACTTTATACCTTAAACACTGCACAAAATTATGGTACATGAGTAAACAAATGACTTTTATTTGACCATCTGATACTTCACTTTAACACCCTCAGTACAGTACACATGGGCAGTCTTGGAAATGTGAAGGAGTCTACTTGGAAAAAAAAAAAATAAATAAATATATATATATATAATTTGAGCTTCAGAAAGGAATTTTCTTCAGAGTACTCCTCTTTGCAATTTTTTTATTAAGTGCAGAGTTCAAATTAAATAGGATTATTGGTGCTTCAACTACTGCATTGTCTTTTCCAACTATACGGTTAAACTTTATCTCGTTTAGTTCTGCCCTAAAATAAGCATGAGGTCACATTACCTGTGCAAGGCTGCCTAGTAACACAGGCAGTTGTCCTTCCAGTACCTGTAAAACACATCCCTTGGACTCATCCTCTTTTAAACAGGGAATTAATTCCAATGCCACGTGCAAGATCATATTTCGCCTAGCAGAAGGGTTTAACTTTCACCTGATTTAAGCAACAAACTATCCCTCAAAGATGCCTGAAGCTTTGCTGTAATTAACATAACTGCATTTAGATGCTATTCATGACCAATAATTCCAACACCTTGTGAAAAAAAAAAAAAAAAAAAAAAAAAAAAGGTTGTGTGCTGTAAACATAAACATATTCAAATAAGCTTAACACAATCTGCCATGCTTATTTCTGCCTAGATCATGGACCAGCGAAATGGTTAATGCAAATGGATTTATAATTTGCTTTGGGGGGCCAGTTTCTTCTCCTTATTTATTAGCCCAGCTGATGGGGCAGATTTGATGAGGCACTTCTGGAATAATTGAGTCATCACACAAAGAAGGCTGCTAGCATTCAGAGTGGTTTTATCAGCAGCAAGCAGGCCTGATTACTGACAATTACACTCTGATCCGGTGATGGAGGAGAAAGAGCCAACGAGTGGGAAATGTCCGTGTTTCTATCCAGGAATAATTTCTACATTCATTTTACATGCTAAGTGTTTCCTATCTCTGCATAATAAACTGTAAACAGGAATAGATGGCACAATGTCCCTTAATATTTCCTGGTAATGAAGACACAAATGTACAGTGAGTGCTGATAAATATAGATGAAACATAAGCTATTCTCTGAGTCTGTATTGTTACCTTTAAAATAAATGCATTTTGGTGGTAAAAGCATAATCATAGTTAATGCAAAAAAATGAC